ATATTTTAGTGTATAACACTATCTAATTTCCCAAAAAAGTGAAAAAGGCACTTTCCTCTCTATTTTTGCTTTTAAATTTTATATCAGTTTTATATCTTGCTTCATACCTCCCATATCCATACCTCCCACTTTCTACTTGACAACAAGGTACATTATAGCTTTACATCCGATCAACCTTCTTATCCTTAGTAGAGAAATGGTACCCACCATTTCATGTTGTTTCATCCCACCAAAGCCATAGGGTATTTTCTCATAAAAAGCAAAGCAAGAAAAGTTCAACTAGGCATACAATTTCACAAATGCAGTTGAACAGCTCACACAAGTGATTGAAATGGATGTCATACCTGTTTGGCAAAAGCATCATTCACAATGAGAGCAAGCACCAGGGAAAGTGGTCAGATGTCACATTCGCATAATATGTCATAAAGATAAAGCACCGCTTTCAGAACTTGTCATCTAGTGTAGTTTTTTCAGCTGTCCTATGAAAAAGCCCCAGCACAATTCCCTGCAGTGGAGTTCACATGCCTTTCTAAATGCTTAGTCAAAACCTCAGCATACACAGCATTATGAGGATAAAATGAGCACATGCATCAAGCATCCATACTGATCCTCGTCAAGCAAGAAGCAAAGGCTTTTGTGCAATGCTCTAGACAAACACAGGCCTGCAGTCCAACCTCAAGAGATGTTTAGAGAGATAAAGAATGGATAACATCACAAGTAAAGGACATGGCAGAGGCCAGAAGAGATAACAATTCAAGAGCAAGAGTAGAGCAAGGGGGTGGTTTGTACCATCTCTCCACTTGAGGATTTTTCTTTTTTTTTTTTTTCAAGCTGCTGTCACATTCTTTGTACACTTCTTTCATCTCTCTGTCACTGAGACTTTGATATAACTTGGGCAGATACATATCTTGGAACATTCTATACCACTTGTACACAAATCTTCAATGATTCTGTGCTCCATCATCTTCTGTCACAGATGGATTCTGTAACATATACTGTATATAGTTTACTTACCCTTTATCACTCCATCCTTATGGCCCCAAGTGAAAAAAATAGCAAAACAATTGATTATTATCACTTATTTTCATTGTGGCCCCAGTACATATAATGTCAAACCCGATTATTATTAGACATTAATGCCATTATTTTATTTAGTTGCTCTCATAAGTAGTTACTCTGTGCAGTTCTTTCTGTGGGTTAAACATGTTGATTTGGTGTAAAATAAATGAGATGTGAACTGAAATAGAAACATGTACATAAAATAGTACATAAATATCTCAACATTGTGAAGAAACTGAACAATACATATACAGACGTAGGAATCTATGATGTTGCTGCATACTCTATTTTTATAATAATTGTGACTGAAAATTGTGAACATGCAAAAAAAAAATTTATTTGACTGATGTTTTTTCTTATATTACTGTAGTCTAACAATTCATTTAGCAGAACAGAGCTCAAGCAGAGCTCAAGTGCTCTTGCCCAGGGTGGTAATTACTGTCACAGTGGATTCTCAGTAATGTATGGAGCCAGGCCTCCGCAAATTTGGTTGCAGACCCATGCTTGACGTACTGAAGCGGGGTCTGGGTACCCGTAGGTTCTGGCTGCTCCCAGACCCTGAGGATCGCACACCAGCAGACAGGGGACTCAGCTCAGGGGCGCTCTTAAACTGCTTGGCTGCTTGGAATGGGGTGTAGGCCTGCCCAGGAGTGGGTTGTGGGATGGGCACTGAATTGGTCACAGGGGCAGAGGATATTTTGGGGAGAGCAGGCAGGGCTGCTGTCGGGGCAGGAGGTGGTGGCGAGAATGGCGCTGCAGGTCTTGGAGCAACAGGAGGTGGGGAAGTGACATCACTGCGCCACATCGGCTCACCGAGAGTTGTGGCAGAGCGAGGGGCGATTACAGTAGGTGTCAGAGATGTGGGTGCAGACATGGGAGTAGGTGTGGAGAAACGTTTGATTTCATACACACGGCTTGATTTAACAGGGACCTGCTTTGGTCCATTAAGGGAATTACCTGTCATGCCAACCCCATTCTGCTGCTGCTGATAAGTGGCAGTGTTTTGAAGGACTCCACCTCCATAACTGAACAAAGATGAGTTGAGCTGGTATGGCTGCCTGCTCACAAAGTCAAGAGCCTTTATACCCTGTTTGCGTTGGCCAGGCACTGTTTTAACCCCAACTTTGTTTGCATCATTAGCCTTGGTGCCACGCTGGGCCACTGGAGGGCAGGAAGGTGACAGCAGTGGATTATAATTAATGGGTGGTGGAGCTCGGATGTTTGGAGTGTATTTCCAGTGAACTGGGAGGGAGGGTGTAGGTGAAGGATCACGAGGATGCGCTGGAGATTTGGGCTGTTTATCCACCACATAGCGGTCCATGCGACTCTGTCTGCGTGCAAACAGCTCCGCACCTTTACCTTGCATCTGAGGCATCTCAGGAGCTGGATGAGCTGGTTTAGGAGCCACTGGTGGTGGCATCTTGTGCCTCTGTGCCTGCATGAAGTTGCAAGCTTCTGCACCCAGGTTGAGAAAATCTTCTTCGGGGCCAGACTCAAACCCAGCCTCTACACCCAAACGGGACCTGTCATCCAAGTTCTGCACTAGAGACATTAGCTCAGGGTTGTAAGATGGAGCCTTCTTCTCCTCATTAGCACTGAACATTGGTTTCTTGGTGCCATGACGACGAGCATCCTGCAGGATGCCAGTGCGGCCAGCAGGGACTGAGACCCGCTGCTCTCGAGAAGAGATCCCATCAGTGGAGTTGGAGAGAGAATACTGCTGGGCAACTGGTGCATTTGGTGTTCCTGGAGTAGTGGATGCCACAGAAATGTATGGGTTGAAGGAGACTTTGTGTGCTGGGGAAGATTGCACATTTGGTGTTGCAGGAGCAAAGGCATGGACAGGAGCAGGGGCAGGGGCATTGGGAAGACCTGGGGCATTTGTGAACGGGGGACAGAAAGGCTGTGCTGGCACATGAACTTGTGGAGGTGGCTGATATTGGGTACAAACCACATGATGATATGGAGGACTGAGTGGCATTGCCTGTGTTTGGGGAGGAGAGTAAGGCTGAGCCATACCAGAAGGGGAACTCAAAGATGTTACATGAGAAGATGTTGGAGAAAAAGGGGCTGAGGTGCTGGAATAGTTTGGGGAGTAGAGTGGAGCATTTGAAGGAGGAGGAGAAAATGGACCTGAAGCGATTGAGGATGGAGAGAGCACAGAGGAAGGACCATTGTAGGTGGCTGGTCTGGCAGGGATATACAGTGATGTTGTAGAGATGGCTTTCTTCCCTTCTGAGCCAGCAGGAGAGAAGGGAGTTGGAATATTTGCCACAGACACAGCCTGAGCCTGTGATCCAACCTTTTTGGCAGGGCTGGGCCTGAAGACTACTGGAGCAGTTGCTGCTCGGTGGCTCACACAACTAGGGGCAAATGGCCTGGCAGTTCTGTTGTGCACTGAGCTGGCAGCCGATGAGTCTGCTTGCTCTGGTAATGCTCCTGCCATGGATGGCATAGGTGTCTGTGACAACACAACACTTGTCCTGCTCACCACCAAAGGTTCCACGTTTACCATACTGTTACTATGAGAAGTTAGGGGTGTGACTGGAATAACTGGGGTATATGTCAGGGTTGAGTCTCCCTGATACTGTGGCATGGAGAAAGCAGTGGGCGTAACCAGATTTGACTTATGTTCTTCTGCTCTTTTCCTCTGTTGTTCAAAAAGCTGGGCTCCTTTTCCTGAAGTGGCATTTAGGCCTGGACTATTCTCTGCATCTCTGTCAGGCACAACACATGCTGAAGTTCTCTTGTCTAGAATGTCCAGGTAACCACTATCCCAAGTAGGGTCTGGTGCAGCAGAAAAACCGTCCTCGTCAAGTTCAGATTCGCTCCCAGGAAACAGGCTTTCGTCCTCGGTTTCTCCCTCTGTGTTACTACAGCTTTCTCCGTCTACGCTGCCAAAGCAGGTGAGAGTATACTTCTTGGCACGCTGGCGTCGCTTCTTGAACATAAGCACACCTTTAGAATGAGGATTAGGAGCATCTGTCAAGAGCGAAGCAATAGTTCTGCATTTGGATCGGGCCTCCTTCACCTGCTTATCTTGTACACTCTCACCTCTGTGTAGCTCTATGGAGAGAAAGATAATGTCTGTATCAATCAGCGAGAAATACTTTCAGTGGTCTTTACTTTAACCAGTAGTATAATTTGTAATATAATTTTAAACAACTTAAACATAATGATGATGCACGTTTATTATGTATTTAAAGTATAATATACTGCTTCTTAATATGTTTTTTTTTTTTACAGTGAGTATCACTGAATAACATTATTTTTCCATTCTGCATTATGGAATGAAAACTTTATGTAACAACTGAACAGGCCTGTTAGCAGGCCTTGACTGAACAAATCTATAAAGTGACACTTATGGCTTTTATATAACATCAACTTTGGTGATGAATGGGCAACATTAAACATAAAGTCACATATAAAGTCATCAAACAAAGTCACAACTTTAATAAATCAAGCTGGCATTGTAATGACTGGAACACATTTTCTAGTTGAGTCAGAATAGCTCTGATATTAGACACTAAAATGCAGTGGGTTAGATACTGAAATGTCTGGCACCAAAATCCTCATGGTAAATTACTGAGCTCATCCTTCTCTACAAATAGCCCATCACATTCTAACAGCTTGAGCAAGTAACCCCTGGGGATCCAGAATCTATATTAAAAGACAGGGAAACGGAATCTGATATTTCAATTAAAACAAACAAAAACTAAAAACAAAAACCTCAAGAGTACAGTATTTTTGCTAAGATATTCTCTTTCTAATCTGGAGGGCCTCAAAACATCTTCAACGTTGGATCAATTTATGAAGCATAAAATTCAAAATATTCTTATTTAAACGGTCCAAATGAAGAAATAAATGTGCTTTTGATTATAATTATCTGTCCAGACTTCTAATTAGACAGTACAAATAACTGTTCAACAAACAGAGGTTAACCCTTACATACCTGCTAGCATCAAAACATGTGACATAAAAATATGTTTAATGAGAAATGGTTGCTATATCTGAGATGATTTCAGCATTTTAGTTTTCAATATCAAAAAATACAAGTAAGTCAAACTTACACAAAAACATATCAAAATTGATCTTTGTAAATCCAAGATCATGTAAATAATACCTCTGTGCTATCCATCACCTTGTCTCACCTTTCTCATTTTAACTATAATGTTGGATCATTTAAACAGAAAACAAGCCCCCTATCTCTCTAAAGCTCTACAGAAGCCATCAGGACTCAACCTGCATAGATGTGTCCTTCATGTTCAACCTCTCCAGGAGATGTAAAGCTCCTCATGTTGTCTGCCTTACTGGCAGAACACACAAACACATCAGTGGAGCTCAGCCAGCAATACTTGGGTGCTCTGCCCACACTGGTATGAAATCAACCAGTCCGTAGCCTGAGGACAAGCCTTTTAAAGACCTTTTGTCAAACCACAAGACCCTGTCACAGGCCCAAAGAAACCCCATTATGTCATTCAAGCTATTTTGGTCGGTGAACAGAGCTAACGGACATTTCCCACCTGTTTTTGCACACCTCGCCTCTTCTTGGATAGGCTGGCTTAAGCTGAGTGTCATGTGGGGTCATGCTGACATCTCTAACCACACCACGATGACTTGACAAGATGACAAGTACTGCCAATTAGATGTGATTGAGACTCTGAAGGCTATATCGAGGCAACATTTGACTAATTGTATTGTCACAGTCTTCAGCGGGTGTGCCCAGGATGGCCACCAGATGACTGTGTTCTGTGAGCACATGGCTTGTGTTGTGTTTGTTTGTTGCCATGTGCTCTCTCCTGTCTATTGTCTTGCCCCGCCCATCTTGTTACCTCATTATTGTTTAAGTTGCTCCACCTGTGTCTCCCTCGCTAGCCTCCTCATTTGGTTTCCTATTTATTCTCCTGGTGTCTGTAATCCTGTGCTGATCCGTCGTTTTTCATTGTGTGTTATGTCTGCATGTAGTGCAGTTCCTAGCCTGCCTGTCTGTTTTTCCCACTCGGGTTGTTTTAGTTTGTTTTTGTTTCATTTTATTATTAAAAGAAAGAACCATTCATCCTGCACTTGAGTCCTCGCTTCATCTCTCCACACGCACCGTGACAGAACGGATCAGCCAACATGAGGACTCAGCGGAGAATGGGCTCACACAAGCTACCGGTCTCCACTCTCTCCAGCCCCCTCTATCAGCGCATGCTCCAGCTGGATACCTTAAGCTCCCTCCGTCAACGAGGGACTGATCTGAGGGAGTTTGCCAGGGAATTTAGGAATGCTGCAGAGGGGCTGGGCTACAATGACTCCGCGCTAAAGGACTTATTCAATTATGCCCTTGATGAGCCCATTAGTCACTGGAGCATGTTAGGATCCGATCATGTATCCTTTGAGGGGTTTGTGGAGTTCTTGGCACGTTCCCCAGCTAAGGGGGCTGCAGTGCCTCCCGTGATGGCCGACAAGGCTGCAGCGCCCCCAAAGGTTGCCAAGGAGGCTGCAGCGCTTCCAGCGGCAGCCGATGAAGCTGCAGCGCCCCCGGGGGTGGCGGTGCCCGCTCACGGTTTCCCCGAGGCGGCGGTTCCCGCTCACAGTTTCCCCGAGGCGGCGGTGCTCGCTCACAGTTTCGCCGAGGTGGCGGTGCCCGCTCACAGTTCCCCCAAAGCAGCAATCCACGGGGCGTCAGAGGCCTCGTCTGCCGCACCCAGTATCTCCCGCCCGTTCTCGGAGCGTCCCGGGCTGATACGCAGTGTGCAGGAATTCCCGGTGATGTTGGTGCGAGCGGCGTGGTCCGCTCGCAAGGCTCCCGAGGCGTCAGGGCCTGCTGAGGTTCCCTCCGAGGCGGCGGGGCTCGCGTCTGGGGTTCTGTCACAGTCTTCAGTGGGTGTGCCCATGATGGCCACCAGATGACACTGTGTTCTGTGAGCACATGGCTTGTGTTGTGTTTGTTTGTTGCTATGTGCTCTCTCCTGTCTATTGTCTTGCCCCGCCCATCTTGTTACCTCATTATTGTTTAAGTTGCTCCCTCCGTCAACGAGGGACTGGTCTGAGGGAGTTTGCCAGGGAATTTAGGAATGCTGCAGAGGGGCTGGGCTACAATGACTCCGCGCTAAAGGACTTATTCAATTATGCCCTTGATGAGCCCATTAGTCACTGGAGCATGTTAGGATCCGATCATGTATCCTTTGAGGGGTTTGTGGAGTTCTTGGCACGTTCCCCAGCTAAGGGGGCTGCAGTGCCTCCCGTGATGGCCGACAAGGCTGCAGCGCCCCCAAAGGTTGCCAAGGAGGCTGCAGCGCTTCCAGCGGCAGCCGATGAAGCTGCAGCGCCCCCGGGGGTGGCGGTGCCCGCTCACGGTTTCCCCGAGGCGGCGGTTCCCGCTCACAGTTTCCCCGAGGCGGCGGTGCTCGCTCACAGTTTCGCCGAGGTGGCGGTGCCCGCTCACAGTTCCCCCAAAGCAGCAATCCACGGGGCGTCAGAGGCCTCGTCTGCCGCACCCAGTACCTCACGCCCGTTCCCGGAGCGTCCCGGGCTGATACGCAGCGTGCAGGAATCCCAGCTGATGTCGTGCGAGCGGCGTGGTCAGCTCGCAAGGCTCCCGAGGCGTCGGGGCCCGCTGAGGTTCCCTCCGAGGTGGCGGGGCTCGCTTCTGGCCTTCCCGAAGCGGCGGAGCCCGCTGATGATCCCTCCGAGGCGGTGGGACTCGCTTCAGGCCTTCCCGAAGCAGCGGCGTCCGCTCACGGTTCCCCCAAGGCGGTGGCGTCCGCTCACGGTTCCCCCGAGGCGGTGGCGTCCGCTCCGAAAGCTCCAGAAGAGGCGGCGTCCGCTAAGAAAGCTGCAGAAGTGGTGGTGTCCGCTCACGGTTCCCCCGAGGCGGCGGTGCCCGCTCACGGTTCCCCCGAGGCGGCTGTGCCCGCTCACGGTTCTCCCAAGGCGGCGGTGCCCACTCACAGTTTCCCCGAGGCGGCGGTGCCCCCGCAGGCGGCAGACGAAGCTACTCTCGGAAACGGAGGAGGAGGAGGAAGAAGGCTTCTTCCGTCCTTCAAGGCCGGGAGGCCTTCCTAGAGCCTGGTGCCCTGCCGGCGTCGCCCAAGCTCCTTGCCCTGCCGGCTCCGCCCAAGCTCAGGCTCCATGCCCTGCCGGCTCCGCCCAAGCTCAAGCTCCATGCCCTGCCGGCTCCGCCCAAGCTCAAGCTCCATGACAGGCTGCCGGCCCCGCCCTGGCCTCCTGCCCTGCCAGTCCCGCCCTGGCACCCTGGTTTACCTCCATCTCCAGGCCCTCTTCCACTACACGGGTCTGGCCCACCATCCCTCCCCCTGATCCACCTCTGTTCCGCCTCCCTGTGACATGTATAGGTCAACCTCTTTATCATCACTGAACAGTATTTAACAGTCAATTATCTGTTATCTTCTATATTTCTTGCTTTTGCAGTTACTTCAAATACCCCATTTTGATAATTATGAGTCAGTAACCACAGTTGTGTCACACTAAAATAATTCCTCCACAAAAGCTATTTAATCTTTGTTCGCTATCTATTCTGAGACACAGAGATATATAATATCAGCTGCAGATCGGTACATTCACAATATTTTATACCATGCTCTTTCGACCTCCCACTGTGCTATCATAATAACAGGTGCGCACGCTTCGGCTTCTCTTCTTACCAAGGCTGTCTGAATGCCCTGGCTTATTCTGTAATTTCACCACTAACGGTGACAGAGAAGAGCAGCTGTTATGGACCCTTATCCTCACTGCACTAATGTCTCTAGCCTCAGTGAGACGCACATACATACGAGAGAATTCACAAACAAGAGTTCTAGATGTTCAGAATTCTCAATGGAGATACAGAATTAAACACAGAAACATGATTATTTACACGACCCTCAAAATGATCCGTCAATTTTTGGAAAGCAAAGTGACCTTCAGACTGAGTGTCGGCAGGGTGCCATTAGTTGAGGAGAAAGCCTTCCCAAAGGCTTTAGAGAGGGGAATTAGCACCCCATCAGCTACAGACACAAGATATGTTGTTTGACTCTAATGAAGTTTCCAATATGTGTTTATCTTGCTATAAGAAGGAATGTGAAAAACAGACTCCTAATCCTCATCACATCATTAATTACATCATATTGACACCTGTGCGTATCTGATATTTAAGGTCAGATTTTTAACCTTTGAGAAGGATAAGCATTCAGTTCACTGAATAGTGACTCAAGCCATATGATACTCAGTAAAAATCGGCACTTTGCTTCAGCAGAAATAGATATGACTATAATCTAATTTTTAAAAAAATAAATAAATCCAGTTCCTGAACCACTTACAACAGAAGTACCAGAAGTATATCAGCCTTGGAGTCAAAATATTGAAAATTACTCATTTGTCCCACATCTCTTGATAAATAATCAGCCTTAACATTTATCAGTCAGTGTAAGTTTAGGTTGGCCCAAACCACTTTAATATGAATTTGTATTCTGTATAAGAATGGTTGATGTCAATACATACCCATTTATTAAAGACTTTCACAAAGTCCTTAATACTTTAAGTAGTGTTTAAAAAAAGAAATAAACTAAAGGTGTAGAATTTTTTATTAATCAAGTCCAGATCATTATTGGCTCTTAAAATCACATTATTAGCACAGACTGACCAGTTTAAATGGAGAGAATGAAATATCACTGACACTGGACAGCAACTGGACATGCCTTTACCAGCATGCAACAGAGGCCTGTGTTATAGGCGTGAGTCAAGGGACAAATATAGTCTCTTGCTCACTTGAGTCCAGCCCCCTTCCTCTGCCCCATTAAACCCTCGGCCAGGGGATATGAGGAACCCCCATCACCAACATTTGCATGAGCTCAATTATAAATCCCACACCACAAGCGTATGATTATTTCCAATTGAGCCATACCCTATTCCTAGGTTCTGTGCTAACCAATGAAGCGATATGTATCTTTAATTACAATTTGTCATATGAACAACTAGATAATGATTCACAACATTCAAATTTCACAAGCCTTAAAAACGCAACATTTACTATTTCAAGATTACCATACCTGAACGTAATGATAGTAACTTTCAGTTCATTCAGTAAATGATTTGTCAGACTGATTCAAACGGAACTCCTGTGTTTGTGATTCATTTTGAAGGATTCATGAATAGAGACACCCCATAAGTATAATTTGTTAATTAATCAAACTATACTGGTCATGTTTGTTTTTCTCTTCAACCCGTGAACACAGCTCAATTTATGCCATAATTCTATTACTCTTAATTTGAGATTATAAAAACTTAAAAAACTATGGCAAATCCAGTAATTATATCAACCTCAAATGTACTTGCTTTGCTTTGTGACCAGATTTATTAATAAAAACAAATAAACTTTTGTGTGCCCTTACTCAAGAAAATCTATTTTAAGGGTCAACACACAGTATGCAGAATTTAATAGACTGACTTCTGCCTTAATTTGATCAAATATCACTAAATCCAGATTCACACTCTTTTCTGACATTAGAGATGGACTTCTATCTAGTGGATTTCTAAAGGTTAAATTTAACACAGTCCAGAAATAATGTATGAGTTAATGACAGAAATAGATACAGGTTCAGAAATGCTGAGCTCACTATTTATATTAACTCAAAAATTATTTTTGCTTATTGCTCTATTTACATAATTAAAATAAGTTAAAGCAACATAATTTAGTTTAATAAATGCATTTGTTATTTGGACTACATCAGGGCTGTCCAAACTCGGTCCTGGAGGGTCCTGCAGAGTTTAGCTCCAACTTGTCTCAACACACCTGACTGGAAGTTTCTATGCCTAGTAAGAGCTTGATTAGCTGGTTCAGGTGTGTTTAATTAGGGTTGGAGCTAAAATCTGCAGGACACCGGCCCTCCAGGACCGAGTTTGGAAAGCCCTGGACTATTTGTCTTTCTTGGTGTAAGGAAAAAACACATAGCTTTAATTGTGTGCTATTGCTAGTTAATAGTTAACTGCTAGTCTGACAATTAACTTTACTTATTTATTTGATTCCATTATGTTACGACTACACAGTTGTGTCCATTTATTGTTTAAAAAAAAAATCAAAAGTAAAGTTAATTACGTTCTGTCAGTTTTTTTTTCTTTAAATCAATAAGAGTTTACGTTGTATTAAATTATGAAGTTTTTTTTACTTTCTATTCATCAAAGAATCCAGAAACAAAATCTTAAGCAGTTTTCAACACTGATAATAAGAAAATGTTCTTGAGCACCAAATATTAGAATGATTTCTGAAGGATCATGTGACAATGAAGACGTGAGTAATGACTATTTATATTTTTAAATATATTAAAATAGAAAACAGTTATTTTAAATTCTACTTATTTTACAATATAGCAATATTTTGATATATTTTGATCAAATAAATGCAGCCTTGGTGAGCATAAGAGACTTTCAAAAACAACAACAAGAAAAATCTTATACCAACCCCAAACTTTTGAACAGTATATATGTTATGTGAAAAAGATGATTGATACTTACTAGCTTGCTTGGCCTTGTCCATGTACGTTACTGTGAGTTCTTCATCAACTGGGTTGTCCACAGGGCCCACCATGGGTACCATCTGTCTGTGAGATGCAAGCATGAGAGCCTCTTTTGCCCGCTCTGGAGAAACAAGTGGAGGTGGGACAGTGGGGGGCTCCTGGAAGCCACTGTCCACTTCAGCAGCTCCTGATGGACTTTGGTCAGAATTCTCAGAGGAATTTTCAGCCTGGTGTGGCCATTCATCCTGTGGGGATCGGTAGACCACCTCTCTGCGGGCCACCCCGGGCATTTCAGGCTGTTGCTGAGTCCCCATTCCCTCTAGATCAGATACAGGCCAGCTCTGTGTTTGAGGGTACATACAGACATACTGGGCGCTCTCATAGCCACTAATTTCCGAAGTCTCCTCCTCCTGGGGTGAGGCTTGGCCAGGGCTCTTGGCAGGAGAGCTACTGGGGCTTCGTCGTCTCTGTCTACGCTGCTTCTCTTGTGCCGCCACATCTGCGTCACTGTCTGTCTCACCGTAGTAAGCTTCACTGTCTGGAGGGGATGTAAGCCACTCGAGGCCACCGGTGGCGGACATGAGCGATGCTCTGTTGACACCGGACCGTTTAGAGGTAAGTGGAGGCGACAGGGCTCTCAAGGCTGCCTGGTACTCCTTATCAATACGGGGGGAGGGGGCCCGACCCAGAAGCACCACTGACTGATATGCAGCTGGGGCCCTGAATGGAAAGCATGGTGATTATCTTGAGTATAAGTTTTATAGCATGACTAACAACTCCTTGTGATAATGATATCTCACTCTGACCTTTTAATTTGCAGATGGAGGGTTCCTCTGCCGCTATCAATCAGATTCATAGCCTCAGCATGAGACAGTGTTCCACAGGATACATCATTGATTGACACCAGCTCATCAGTCTCTCTGAGCCCAGCCCGGCAGGCCTTACTGCGCTTCCTCACCTTCAACAGCAGGAGGAGACAGCACAAACTTTCTGTTGATGAGTTTCAGTGAGAGAAGATAAATAAATATTCACCTTATTTTTACCTTATTTAAATGTGTAAGGCTTTCTGTGTCACCCGTTTTCAGTTATTTTTAGCTGCGCAAAACAGCTTGTTATGCTGCCTGAAATATTGTCGGAATTATAAACACACAGTTTTTTCTGCACTTTGTTATTCTTCTGGTTTAGTGTTTACCGGTTAATGAATCAGAAGTCCCGCATATTCACAAAAAAACAGTGGATATACGTAAAGCACATACGTTTCTAGCCATTGTTTATTTATTAAGATTGCTTCACTTGTGAATATCAATTTAGTTTAGGATAGTAACTGGTTAGTATCACTCACATTCCCCTGCAAAAGCTTATCATACTCTGGTTCACTGTTCATACTGTTACTTATAAGTCAGTGGGTTATCTCTCTTTCTGAGTGGCAAGTGATGGTCTCACATCACAGTCGGTGGACTTTCCAGTGCTGGACAACATTATCACTGGCTACTTCTCACAAATAAAGTACATAATCAAACCCTTATTACACCTTAACCTATTTACAAAATAGCACCATTCTTCATTCAAAGGTTCTTGTGTTCTTGCTGTGTGTGTGTTTTCTTGATTGCAAATCCTGATGATTCAAGTGCACTGATTTTGTGACTTATGACTTTTAAATTCTGAATCATTTGTGTTCATCAATATGAAACGCAATTCATTATATTTGTATAATGAACACCACTAGAGGTGTTTTGTTCATTAATGACTTGAAATTTTCAAATTAATCTTGTTGAAATGAATGTTTGTGTTCAAGTACCTGTTTTTGCCTAAAATACATCACATAAGTGTTTAAAGATGAATACTGTACTAAATGTTGTATCATGTATTAAATCAACTTGAATTGTTCAATCAACTGTAAACAAGTTAACTGTGAATCATATAATTTCAGTGTCAATCCAAAGATTAGTTAGGCCTCATCCTCTGGGTTTTGTAATGGCAGATTGGAGGGAAGAAGCTACTGTATGTTTAAAGAGAGTGGCTTATATGGCATTTTGCCCATCTTCAAATACCATCTCCTGGACAGTACAGCCTTTCTGAGTTCATCTGTCAAATATGAGAGCGCTGTTCCGACACTCACTTCACCAACACGCACCAAGCTAAAAGTCTGGCCACATTCCTGTCTTTGTCTCCTGCTTCCAACGGTACTTTATAAACTAACTGTTTTGAGGAATTGGAATAATGTTTTCACTTGCCCAAAGCATAGATTTGTATTCCCCTACAAAGGCCCGAAGGGTTTCGCTCAGCTCAGAGCAGCTCGGAATATTTTGTCTTATGAAACTTCTCATTTTAAACACTGTTGTAGACAAAAATTAATGCTATGAAGACCGTTAAACAACATGCACAGTGTTAATTTGCTTTTCCGTGAACACACATTTGTAACTAGATGAAAATGGATGAAAGCCGGGCCCATTCACCTTCTTTTTATTGCCGATCAAATGGTCTGAGAATGCAAGTAGGGGGAACAACATGTGCAGCTGGTGCCTCTTGGCAGACCTGAAGCAGGGCATGTCGTGAATTCACCATGTGTTGTCCACATAGCCTAAATAAAGTACACAACTTTTGTGAAGGGTAAGTTGTCACTTAGCCTCAATAGATTTAGCTTAAAACTCAATGAGTGCATGTTTTTGAGAAGTGGTTTGTCTAATTTAGTACTAATATAGTAAATTAAGTTGATCTGCATCATATCGGATAGCAAAGGATTTCATGGAAGTATGAATGCATTTAAATTATAAGCACTACAAGCAGGTATTATGAGGACATGCTGTACGTCTTCAGGCATTTTCAAAACATTGCCAGAGCATTTTGCTAGCTGAGCAAGTGCACTGAGGGCGTTCTAGATGCCAGGTTTAAAAGAAGCAATCAGAGATCCGGGTGGATCAGAATAGCTCAATTAAAAGTAGAGATGGTCATGGAAAAAAAAGGCTACACCACAAATGGAAACAGATGAAAGTCTGCAGAGGTGACCTTGAAATGAAAGACGAGGTGAAACTCCCTGATGCTGGACGAACATTTGTTTTCCAAGCAAAAATATATTTCTCTGAATAAAAAAGTCAGGCCCATTGCTCTATGATGGATATTTGTTCCCTCAGAACGTGGAAAGAGTAGACTAGACAGTCTCTGGCATTGCTCACCAATCCAAAATAGCCCTTAGATCAGGGAAAATGCATTGCACACAGTTGTCACTTAACAAATGGGGCATACTGTGCTTATAAGTATACACTGTGGCTGTAATTCTACTCAGTCCTGAAATAACATCCTCATTTACAGAACTGTGTGAGAATGCTTCTTTGAAATATCTGGATTCCAGAGGAAGCTAAACAGAAGCTGTCAATTAGATAAGAGTGAAGAGATGCACTGTGAAGCCAAGCAGGTTTATATGGAGCAGGAATGCTTGCAGCACACAGCCAAATAGCTCTCTTGAACTGCATTTATCAGCAGATAAAATAAGTGCTTTCTGGCCTGCAGTTGAAATATGATGTGACAGTATTATCTCATTAATTTTTGCCCTTAGTAAATGGAAGATATGTAGGTGCTATATCTTAACTGCATTTTCAGGCTTTGAAACATATGCTATGAATCCTTCATTTAAAAGGGCCGCAAAATGATATATGACAAACATATCTTTACACATGCTAGAATGGGCCACATTAGTATTTCACAGAAAATGTCCTCAATAACACTATACTCTTGACGGCTTATCAAGTGTTACATTCCTCACTGACACATGTTGAACAAGCATATCTGCTCAGTTAAGTCAGACCAGGCCCACATTAAATGCAATAGACACTGACTTTATATATTAATTAAATATAGAAATAAACAAATAAAAGTAAAGAAAATGTTAATTTTATATAAATTATTTATATTTTTACATAATTAAATGTTTTTATTAAAATAAATATACGTAAATAAATCTAAAATTGTTGTTCAAATGTGATTTTACTATGAGATATTTGCATGACAATTAATTTATATAAATCTCATTATATATGTAATTTGTAAAATCACATTGTGTAATTTGAACCATTGTTTTATTGAGGACATTTTTTGTTAAATACTTGTGTGGGTGATGTGGCCCATTCTAGCATGTGTGAGGATATTTGTCGTATATCATTTTGGTATGAACTCGATAAGAACTATCTTTGGGGGCACTTTAAATGAAAAATAATTTGTATATTTATGTTTCAAAGCCTGAAAGTGCAATTAAGATAAATGTAGCAGCTATATATCTCCTATCTAATAATGCCGTTCATTAATAAGATAATACTGACACATCATAGTCCAACTTCTATGTAGTATGTAATATACGTATTGCATATTGCTCATACACAAAAGTTTCAGTGGATTTCAATAGCTTACCAGACCATTCATTAAAATATGAGACACATGATTCAGCATAACCAGGTATCCAATCCAACCATCCCCTTACCTTTGCCACTTGGAGTGGTTTCTGGTGCTGAGCTCCTCCTTGTAATCGGAAACCCCATGGTGCACCTCCTGGCAGGGTCACCACTACCTCCTCTGCAACCATTTTTCTTTCTGTGATTCTGTGTCTCTCTTTTAATGTTTCTTGGCTCTTAGTTTCTTTCAATAGTCTCGTCCCATCCCTGTATGTTCAGTCCTCCACCGTTGCCTAGACTGCTTGCAGAGCTTCTGTCAGTCCTGAGAGGTGAGTGCAGACACACACCCCATGGGCCATGAGCATGTGTAGTGTGGGGAGAGCAAAAGGGGGCGGGAGGAAGCAAGAATGGCTCTATCTCTCTCTTCGTTGGAATGCTGGGTCGGTGGGTGGGGGTGCACGGTCTAGATCCAAGACCTCCTTCCTTTATCCTGCTGGTAACACTTGTCCTGTCAATCCACAGCCACATCCAAAAGATGCTGATAGACCCTCTAAAAATAAATACCCCAGCAGTCCCAAGAGCTTTATCTGTGAATGCCCTCAAAATGTGAAGGGAGCTGTTAGAGGGGTTATAAGACCACATTGCAAATTAAAATGAACATTAATGATGCTCATTAGACATTATAAATAAATGTTTGGCAAACTGGTTATTCCTGGGGGATTCGTCAGCTAAATAATTGGGGACTTAATCATTTGATCTTTAAAATGGCTGCCCACTGCTCCGGGTGTGTGTTCACGGTGTGTGTGTGTGTTCACTGCTGTGTGTGTGCACTTTGGATGGGATAAATGCAGAGCACTAATTCTGAGTATGGGTCACCATACTTGGCCACATGTCACGTCACTTTAAAAAATAAAAAAAGGATATAATGTTGCTTGACCAAAGATGTTTACGTGAAAATAATTTATTATAATCAGCTATTCTTTCATTTATAATTTAGATATATTCTCAGTATTATTTGGTCATTTATCTTTAGCATTTTTTTTTTTTTTTTTCAGATTTGTTGTTTTTATATGTTGTTTTTATTTTATCTTTTGCTATAGCATGATTTACAGCACCATCCAAACATATGATAATCTTCAGATAACATTTACCATTAACAGTTTTTTTGATTTTCTTAAAGGAATAGTTAACTCAAAAATGCTGGAAAATGTATGCACCCTCAGGCCATCCAAGACGTTCATGAGTTTGTTTCTTCATCAGAACAGATTTGGCAAAATTTAGCATTGCATCACTTGCTCGCCAGTGGATCTATTGTCTTCTCATATCAAAAATCCTTCAACATATTTCAACATATTTTGGACTGTTGTTGCTTTCAAACGTGATCTGGGTGTATTTCTCTCCTGATTCAGACTAGACAATGACTTTTTCACTGGAGAAAGCAATATTATGGATAGAGTACTCATATTTATGTATATGTGTGTGTGTGTGTGTGTGTATATATATATATATATACATGGATCTCCATCAAATCTCCCACGGATATTCAGGCCATTTCCAAGGATGTACAGGTACAGTGTTAGGCATCTTTTGATGTAATGCACAGACCTTGCAATGACTAATCATATTTTCAATATCCTCATCCAATTTAGGCCACCAAAAATGGCTTCTGGCTACTGCCTTACTCTTGACCATCCCTAAATGTGACTCATGTAGTTCTTTTAAGAGTTGATGTCTCAATGAGTCTGGTACGATTACCCGAAACCCCCACAATAGACAATCAGCCTCTACTGTGATCTCGTCACGTCTATACCAATAAGGTTTTAGTTTTTCCTCTGGCATTCTTTTGGGCCAACTATTGAGTGTGAATGACTTCACTTTCATTAGAACCTCGTCTTTATTGGTTTCTGTTTTTATGTCTTTTTGATCTATCGGAATCGCCTCAATAAATGAGACCTTGAACTCTGCATTACACATAAGTCCCATCAACCCCAAAGGTAATCTCGAAAGGCCATCAGCATTTGTGTGTTCCGCAGACGACTTGTATCTGATATCATATTGGTAAGCCGAAAAAAGTAATGCCCACCTCTGCAACCTAGCGGCGGCTAAAGCAGGCACTCCAGTTTTCGGCCCGAAAATCTTAACCAAAGGCTGGTGATCGGTGATGAGCAGAAATTTTCTACCATACAAATAGTCCCTAAATTTCTGCACCCCAAAAATAATACCCAAGGCTTCCTTTTCAATTTGGGAATAGTTTATTTCCGATTTACTAAGGGTGCGCGATGCATATGCAATGGGTTTTTCCATACCATCTGGCATACAATGCGAAATCACTGCCCCTACTCCATATGCCGATGCATCACACGCTAGCAATATGGGAAGTTGGGGATCGAAATGTGTCAACACACTTGATGACGTCAACAGCTTTTTAGCTTCTTTACACGACTCTTGACAGGCCTTTGACCACTGCCAAGGTTGGTCCTTGGGTAATAGTTCAGTCATGGGTTTAATTACGGTTGACAAGTTTTCCATAAATTTGCCGTAGTATGAAAGCAACGCTAAAAATGCTCTGAGCTCAGTCACATTTTTAGGTGCTGGGGCTTTTTCAATAGCCTCGACCTTCTCCCACAGTGGGCTGATTATCCTCACTGGAGTCTGAGTCCGGTGGTCGTAGGCTACTAACTGATCTGCGCTCCATTGATCCTTTGAAGTATTGGGCGTCAGCTTCTTTCTTGACCACGTCACGATCTCTCCCTCGTTGACTCTATCAGTAGAAATGTAATTCGTCTCGCGTTCCCAAAACGGCTTATTCGCGGCTCACGATTTGGAGAAAGAGCCGCTGTTTTTCTCCGGTCCTTTCTGTGGCGTGGCATTTTTACAGGCACGCTCTAAATGTCCTTTCTTTCCACAGGCTCGGCATTGAAAGTCTTTGTATTTGCAACTGGACGCAGCATGTCCCTTTCCAAGACACCGGTAACAGGGGGTTTGCTCGCCCTTTTCGCGACTGCTTTTCCATTTTTAACACCGCACCCCCAGCACCCCCATTTTTTCGTGGGCTACTCTCCAGGGGGTGCTGCAGCACCTCAGCACCCCTACTTCCCACGGTAATGCCTACTTGAAAAACTTAAAGCACTGAATAATAAATATATTGTATAAAGAAAATGTGCAAATAGACTGAAAAGTCTTCACTGTATAAATTCAATATACATTCATTCTTATTTATTTTACAAAAGTGATTCAGTCAAGGACAGCAAGTAATTTTCTTTCTGATGTTTGATTTACATTATTGACACAAATGGTAACAGCAGCTATATTAGGCTGCATTATAGTTCACCCAAAAATGATATTTAATATCCAAATATTAAATAATATTGGTAACCAAACAGTTGATGGGCCCTCACTACTCACTAAAAAAAAAGAAAGAAAAAAACACTATTGGAGTCAGTTGGGACCAGAAACTGGTTACGATCATTCTTCAAAATATCTTCTTTTATGTTGAGGAGGAAAAGGAAATTCATAGAGGTTTAGAACAATTTGAGGGTAAGTATATGATGACAGTATCTTCATTTTTGG